ACGAGGTTCTCGAGAAAAACCTGGATTTGCCTTATCAAAAGATCTCCACACTTCAGAATCTGCTGGATGTCTAAGAACCCCATCTTTCAAACGCTGGTCATGATGCCATCTCATACTTGATGCTACTTCTGATGACATAAATAATCTCTGCAACCTTGGGGTTAAAGGAAAGTAACGCAAAACTTTGTATGGCACTCCTTTCCCCTTTGGTAATTTTTTACAATTTTCCTCCACTTTGTACCTCGGCTCTCCACAGTGTAAGCAATTTTGCAAATCTTCATACTCTTTCCAAAATAACATACAATCATTCCTACACGCCTCTATTTCCCTATAATCAAGACCCAAATCTTTGATCATCCTTCTAGCTTTATAAAAAGATTTGGGCAAAGTCTCTCCAGCAGGAAGTGCCTCTTTAAACAACTTCAATATGTCTTCAATTGCAGTATCACTTATTCCATAAAGGCATTTGATTTGGAATAACTTCACAATAAATGATAACTTTGTAAAGTTCTCACAATTGGGATATAGTTTTTGTTCAGCATCCTCTAATAGCCTGAAAAACTTACCTGTTGTCCCATTATGCTTGGGAGGTTCTTCTAGATCTGGCTGAACTATATCTTCTTCTGAGGCATCATGCATTATAGAATCCACAACTTCAGGCCCTCTGACATCTTTAATCAAATCTATCATTCTACCACAACCTTCCCCCGGTACCAATTCATCGACAAAATGGTCATCTTGGACAAAGCTCTCTCCGTGGTAATACCATCTTGTATAAGATTTAACAATCCCATTCATGATCAAATGAGCCTTCACTTCTTCTTTGGTAAAGTGCAAGACATTATTACACTTCTTGCAAGGACACAAAATCACACCTTTCTTGTTGTCGTTGGTTGATGCAAAATCCAGGAAATCATCTACTCCTTTAATGTACTCTCTACTCAATCTATTTGAAACTTGCATCCAGCTTCTGTCCATCTTGTTAATCTACAGTGAAACATATAAGTTGGGTCAGGAAACAAAGAATAATAAGAATGCTCACAACTCTACAAATATATATATGTCGGGCATAGGCATTCAATTCATAATTCGGGTTTCTTCTCAGATTGACGATTTTCCAGTAGGGGTGAAACTGGGCCAAACCCAGCCCTGACCCTACCACTACCCCAAAAAAACCCAGCCCTGTATGCCTATTAATTCATAAAAGTTTGATTACAAAAATTCCAACTAATTCCAAAAAATTTAAGGCAACAAGTATATAGAGGAAATGTGATCTATGATGTTGCAGCCAGCAATCTACCAGAACTAACGATCTTGGGATACCCTAAATTTCTGAACATTCACATAACCTTCAGCAACTAAGCCACTGTCTCGTCGTGAACATCTTCTACTGCTGGCTCATGATTAATAGGAATCGAGTCTTCTACATCTGAAATCATGTTAGCAGAACCTAGGTGTACATCAGATAACTATTCCCAATTCGGATGAGCTTCCTAGTTGTCTTGATGTATTGAATCTTCTAACTAGTAGTAAGTATACAGTCTTGACATCCCACCAACAATGCCACCATAATTCTGTAACTTTGATTCCATATCCTCCAACCTAAGCTATGTAGTCATGTACATATGCCTATATGTACAACACAACACTGCTAAGCCATTAAGAAAAAGAATTGACCAAAGCCAGCAATTAACAAGACAGGAAAAGTGAGATGAACCAGTCAAACCTGGGTTTGGGGAGCAAAGAAATTGGGTGTGTGGAATCCGATTCAGAGCTTGGCGACGGTGGAAATTAACGGTCAGTGGAGAAGCTGCAGGGCAAGAAGAGGAAGCTGGACAAGAAACTGAAGTCGATTCACTCGTGGAGGAAGCTCTCGAGCATCATCTTCGTCGCCAGCTTTGGGCGGTGCTGATATGGTCCATCGTGGCGGCGGCAACATCGATCCTGCTGGGGTCGATGGGGAAGTGGATCGACTCGCTGTGGCGGAACTCGAGAGCGCGGTGAAGGGGGCAGAAGGAATCGTGGGGACAATGCAGGTCGGGAGCTACCTGGATCCACAGGATTGGGCCGGGCTGATGGGTAGTCAATAGTGAGAAGAAGGACCTGGATCAAGGACCTGGATCCACAGTTCAATGAAAAGTTCTTAACAATCAATAAAATTATATCATAAAATAAATCATAAATTTTTTATTAAATTTAAGTTAGTAATTATGATTAAATACATTGGATATTAATTGTTTTCACATTTTTTTAAACCGGCATGAACCGACACAAACTAGTTATATCACCGGTCGCACCATTCGACTTACTAAACTGGTACAACGGTATAAACCGGTTTGACAACCTTGGTTTACATTAAACCAAGGTGATTCATCTGGTTTATATCCAACCATTAAAAATAAAATTAATAGAAAATAATTCTTGTAATAAAAGAAATCTAATAAGATCCATTTTACTACTTTTAAATTTTTGAATTTTTGCTATATTTTATATTAAAATTATATTTGAACATTTTACAACACCTCTTATATTAAAAAAGTACTTTTAATAGTATTTAGGCAAATACTCAACTACTTTGTTTGAAAAGTGTGTTTCTAAGACCTCTTATATTAAAAATTTATTACTTTAAAGTTTTTGAATTTTTGCTATATTTTATATTGAAATTATATTTGAACTTTTACAAGACCTCTTATATTAAAAAAGTACTTTTAGTAGTTTTTTAGGCAAACACTCAACTACTTTGTTTGAAAAGTGTGTTTCTAAGAGCTCAAGTAGGAATGCCAATTTCGACCTGACCCAATTTATCCGACCTGTTTGACCTGTTTTGGGGCGGGCATGGGTACCTCTCATCGACCCGACCTGTCCTGGCCCGCCCCATTCTCGACCCGTTCTTGCCTAAATTACATGTAATCTTAGTCAAATTAGTTAGGTTTTTCATCTTATTACATTATATTTTAGCTATAATAAAGTTGTAAATAAGTGAAAACCTCAATTTCTTCAATAATTTAACTACATTTTATCATATTATCATTTCTTTCTTGGTGTTTTTAGTGAAAATAACGAATATTTCTATTGTTTTTCGCATAAATAACCTACCCATTGGGTCGACCTGTCCCGACCCGCTCCCCGTGATAAATTACCTGACATGTACCTGACTTGCCAAGGGGCGGGTATGGGTATGGAGATACCCGCTCCGGACCTGAATCAATGATTGGACCAATAGTGCCTTCAATCAGCTTTATTCCGGTTCAAATGTCAATTCGGTCCATTTTCTTCAGTATCAATAAAATTCATAGAACCAAACACCGGATCAAACTATATACGATTTGGTGTGGTCTGGTCGAAACATCATTTTGGTCCAGTATGAACCAACCCATTGCCCACACCTGAAATAAAATTAAAATATGGTAAGTATAATCTTGTATTTTCAAAACAGCTTTTCGCAGAAGTTCCAAATCGGAGCTTCTGCTTTTATGTTATACAAAAGCGCATTTCGGCTTTTCAAAAGTCGAGCTTTTAGAGGTGTTTGGCCATGTTTCATCTTTTAAAGCCGAAAAACACTTCTAAAAGTCGGGCCAAACATAAATAAAATGTATTGAGAATTCATTTCATTTTGAAATGAACTATCATTAAAATTTATTGTTAAATGAATCCATGTTTATGGTATGTCATATTTAAATTTTTAGACACAATATTCAATGAAAATCTATCTTCTAAAAAATAATTTTGCTCCCATACGTAGAATATCAAACTTGTTCTTGTGTGTTTCTATTATATTCGTTAGTTTTGTTTCTTAACTCACTGATACAATTGAAACAGAATTATCAATTAATTGTGGAATTCATTTGGAAATTTCATCTCAATTTCTCGGCATTCTTATAACTAGTTCCAATTCCGTATAATTCAAAATTTAGAATTGATAATGAATTTTTTTTTTTGGAAAAAAATGAATTCTTTTAAATAACAAGTACAAAATGATATTATTTAAAGATGAATTTCTTAAAATTTATTTAATTCATTTATATCGATATTTAGTAGCTCAGTTATCTTTAGACTAAAAACATTAGCTCGTTTATCTATGAAAGTACTTTATAGTTTGGAATTATTTATATTGAATCAAAATTCTAGGAGATGCGGCCACTATATTTGTTAACTAAATCCATTTTACCAATAGTTTTTACTGATATTGCCTAACAGGGTAATTACTGCAAAATATTAATTTAGAAAAAGTAAATTTGGTTAGTATAAATAAAGCTAAAATCAATGACGTTACCCATTTTGGGTATCCTATTCCAAATAGGTAATTGGTTTTCTTTTTCCTTGTAAACATTATCTTTCAAGAGCCGCCACAACCCTCTTTTGATATTTCTCCTTAAACAGATTCGTGGGCAAAAAAATTGTGCGCACTCTTGAAAAGTAAAAGTTTAGGGCGGAAGTTTACAGCGGGAAAGCAAATTTTGAGAACTTACTCACTATATAAATCATCATGGTTTCTTCCACTCAAGCTTTCCGAAAGACTACCGATAGAGCACTTGTATTCCTAGAAGCTGAAACTATTACCAAGGTAATTGATACTGCGCATTTAGTATAATCTTAATTGTTGCTTCAGTTCCTATCGATCACAAAACGGTTTTCTCAATTCTCAATGTATTTCGTAGCCAAAAAGGGTTGATCGTGCATATATGCATCTGTACCTGGATGTCAGATCTTAATGACTCTCATCCCTTTTTCTTTTGTTCTTGTTATCGGCTCAATTTTTCTGGATTGGTACTTTTATTGATTACTCTTTGGAAGCTAACATAAATCCTTGTCTTCTAAAATTAGGTTAAAGCAAGGTCAATATATTGTTTATCTTATTAGTTTATATTATATATACAAACGAGGAGAAACAAAATTGAAATCGCCGACCGGCCCCTGCATTCTATTTATACGCATGGTCTTTGAGTACAATTGGCCTTGTTGATAATTTAGAAATTACTTTTACAGGTCTATCTTCAACAATGGCGAGGTGTGGAGGTCTCCGGAAAAGGAAAAGGAAGGTGAACCAAAACAGTAATGAAAACCAAGTTGAAGAAGATTCAGAACATAATATTGTGAGCCAATCTCATTCGTCCAATGAGATTCCTTCAACTTTAAGGGACTCTTCAAATCCTACTTCTCCTGAAAACTCAGCAAGTGACATACCTTCACCAAGTATGTTTTTGTTTTCACTTAGACTTAATTAAATTGCACTTTTAAATACTTAATTGTCAGGATGTCTTACTAAGTAGCTATTGTTTCTCTGGTATGCTCACTGTAGGAAATTTTAATACCCAAGAATTAACAATCAAGTATCATTATGGAGGTCATTTCACATTTTCACCTCGTAGGCAGTACACAGGGGGGAGTGAGATGGTAAAAGATGGCCATGAGGTGGATTTCCTCTGTTATTTCACTATCCTGGATGACCTTAAGGCATGTGGCTTTAACATTCTTGATGGAGATAAGTTCTATTATCTTAAACCAAGAACTCCTATTAGTGACTTGAATGGGCTTGTACGTGTGAATGATGACGATGATGTTTCATCCATGCTGTCCTCTTATAAGAAACACATGCTATCTACATTTGAGATATACACATTGTCAAGAAAACATGATATTTTGCCAAATGAAAGCATGGGAGAAGAGATTCCTCTGGACAGTAATCCCCATGATCCAATTCAGCCATCAACTGTACAAGAACCGGAGCTTAATCCCTCAGGTATATTATATATACACCTTTCCATCTCAAAGACATAATTATATATTTGCTTTTTCATATAGCAGTCCGATTGATAAGGTATTTTCAGAATCCTATTTAATTATTTATTTTACCTTCTCAACAGAAGGTTCGCATTTGAAGAAAAAGAAAACGCGAGGACCCACACGATGTATGAAAATTATTGAGTTAGAGGAAGGAAGAAAGCTGCCAGTAGATTTTGATGAAGATCATCAAGCAATTGGAGAAAACGCAACAAGTTTTGTTTGGTTCTTGGGAGTAACGGTTCGAAATCGATCATGTTGTCCTTTACAAGTGAAAAGATGGAAGGATATTAGTAATGATGCTATCGAGCATATGTGGGCAATTGTACAGGTAATCAAATTCTTACTTGATTTTTTTTTTTTGAATTATTTACTAACTTGCAGATAAATCATATCTCAATTCTTATTTAATATGATTCTCACATTTTTTTTAGGAGAAGTTTACATTTGAATTACCAATGAGAAGGATGGAAGCAATCATCGGTCACATGAATGCATTATATCGGGATCATAGGCAAAAGTTGAAGCAGAAATATTTCAACAAGAAACATAGTTACAAAAGTCGCTTGAAGAATAGGCCAAAAAGAGTCTCAAAAGATGATTGGAAGTATCTCGTTAACTTATGGAGCGATCCAACTTTCCAGGTATTATGTTTATAAATTTTATGCAAGATAAATTATATAAGTTCTCGAATAGTTTTTTTCATATGCATATTAAACATTGGTTTCGTTTTGTCAGGAAAGGAGTTTGAAAAATAAAGAGAACAGATCAAAACGTTCAATGCCACCCTACACAGGCACAAAAAGTCTTGCTCGACTTAGACACCAAATGGTACATTTATGTTATAAGAATATTCAATTATTTATATCATACTTTATTTTATTCTAAGCTAATAATCCCTATTTCCTTTTCAGAAAAAACAAAATGGAACTGTTCCTTCTCGTGTTGAGGTTTGGATTGAATCACGTAAGAGAAAGAAAGGAAAGACTATAGACCCTGACTCCCAAGATGTGATTGTAAGAGAACTTTTATTTAAAAGATCAAAACATTGGTTATTTCATTACATATCAATTACGTAATTTGTTTCTTTCAGTTCAGTTTCTACTCAACGATTAATTGTTGTTTTCATCTTTCTAACGCAGTCTCAACTTGATCAATTGAAGAAACAAAGAGCTGAAGGAGTTGTTTCTATGAATGATGAAGAAATGTTTGAAAAGGTTCTAGGACCTGAGAAGAATGGCTATGTGCGAGCTTATGGACCTGGAAAAGGCGTGACCGAATTCTTTGGTGTTAAACCAACCAAAGCTGCACTTATAAAACAAGTAGAAGCTGCTAGAAAAGAAGCGAGTGAACAAGTGGAACAAGCCAAAAAGGAAGCCAATGAACGAGTAGATAAGATAACCAGAGACGTTGAGAAACAAATGGCTGATATGAACAAGAAATGGGAAGAAAAGTTTCAAATCCTACTTTCTAATGCAAGATCTTCAGCGCCAAGAGAAGAGTCTAATGAGGAAGTAAGTGAGAATTTTTAAATTGTTTATGTTTGATCTTCATCTTCTTGTCTTTTCACTTGTGCATTACTCAATTTTTGCAGGTGACAGAGAGTGAATAATCTGAACGAATTATAGAGATTTCATCATTGCAATTCTTCGAGGGGTGTAGCACTTTTTAGGATGATTATCAGTTTAGACTTTGGACTATCGATTTTATGTTTTTGCTTCTATTTGATAATAACTTTTCAGATTAGTCATTATGTTTTTTTTATTATGTTTCCGGATCATGCCTCATGTGCTGAATTTATTTATATTATTTCGTGGATGTGTGATCAATAGTCTAAGCCTACAACTAACAATAACATGATATGCAGCCACGTCTATACATAATCATGTAATGCAATCATTATGTTTCCCACCACAACAAACAATTTAAACACATTTAATTTTGAAAAAATAATTTAAAAAAACAAATTCTAAGCTTCATTGTGGTTAAAAAAAATTTACAGCCACAAAATTCATTTCATGGCTAAATTTTTCAATATATATAGCGACTAATAATATAGCCGTGTACCCAACTGCAGCAAAATATATAGCTACAAATTAGTTTATGGCAAATGTTTTATAACTTTTGCCACATGTAGTATTTTGTGAAGCAAAAACAAAAAGATTTAGCTATGGAATTACTAGTAGCATAAAATAGATTTTGTTGCCACAACTTGCATACATAAAGCTAAATCTTGATTTCTTTTGGTCACGATGATTACACCGTAGCAAGAATACTTCATCTACAGTTACAAAATACTTGGTAGCAAAAACATAAACATTATAGCCATGTTAAGTATTTTGTAAGCTATTAGTAAATTTTATAGCCACGACTCTTTTGGTAGTAAAACATACTTTGTTATAGTTTGAAGATAATTTGTGTCAAAATCTATAGCTAAATGCGTGGCAAAAACTATCGTTCTTTAGTTTCAAATTATGAATGCGTAGCAAAATGCTTGATAAAGCAATAAATTATATTCTTAGTAGCAAAAAATCTTCATGATCTAGCTACATAATATCCATTTTGTGGCAAGACTTTCAGCTATATTATGTTTCTTTTATAGCTAAATGCATTGGTTGTTAGCTACGTAATTGGAAAAATGTGTGGCTAACTTTTAGCTGCGCCACTTCTAGCTACGCAAGCTACAAAATAAAAATTATGTGGCTATATAATTTAGCCACGCAAATTTGACATTTTAGCCACAAACAGTTCCATAGCTGTATGGGCAAATTCTTGTAGTGCCGTGTGGCTTCTCACCTTCTCGCCAAGCGTCCAAACTTCGTCCAATCGACTCCGAACTCGTTCCTAAACCTTCATTCACGTACTAGGACCTGAAATATCACAAACAAGAACAACCTAGCGTGAAATCGGCCTAAAAGACGGGAATCGACATCTCAAACGGCTCAAGAATAGGGGTAAAAACATGTGTAATCAATGGTCTATCAACAGTCTTGTTCAAAGATGTGTAGATTAAGAATTTTTTTATAACTTATGTATTTTGGGAATTTTTTTCAATAATGTGTGTATTTAGGGAAAAACACGATCTTCTTCCCCATGATGATTGTCTTATCCATTTTGGTTGTTTTTCTAACTATCTCTATGGAGTAGCTCTTCAATTCACTTTGGTGTTGTGGAATCCCATTTAGTATGTTGTAATTGATTGCTTGTGAACCCTAGTTCTGATTTTTCATCTTAATCATATATTAAGTTGATTAGTATTCATGGAAATTGATGGTTCTTGATCACTTCCTCAATTTGGGGCTAATTGACCTAGGTGAGAGAATATCTCCTTAGGGTTGGTTTAGAGCATTGTTAATTCAACACTTGGGGACTATGAACGTGTGTGGTTAGATTTTTTGTGCCAATTACCTAAGCTGGTTGTTGGTATGCCTCTTCGGGTAGTGTAATTGAGCATGATTGGAGAACCTGAACATGGAGTCCAATCTAGATTAGAGCTCCCCACGTTATCTGATAGTGCGAATGGAATTAGGGTGTCACAATGTCGATACAACATAGACTAGGGAGAAACATATCCTGGTGAAACTCTCCTCAATTGAATTCAATCTCATTCACTTTCTTGCTTGTTTAGTCTTTAGTATTCGAAACTCGAAACAACAATCAGATTACTAGATAACGTGTAGTCATTGAAGTAAGTGTATATAAGCTGCTTGGGCTAATATTCAAAATACTTGCTCTATACTACACACGGTTAGAGGCTGGACATGGCCTTTGATCAGGATCGTTGTAGTTCGAATCGATTCAAGTTTTCCTAAGCAAGCTTGAGTTGGAACTTGCTTTTACCATCCGTGTTAGTGTGGTTTGAAGTGATTTCAAGTGGTTTATGACTCAAAGCAACCATGATCACTTGCAACCACTAGATGACAACATCAATCAAACTCTCCGACTTCTCGCATGAGAGAGGGATTTAATAGAAGGAAGAGAGAGACTAGTGATTCAGGCTCAATCCGAAGAAGAAGAGTCCAAAGCAATGCAGTTAAAATTGGGATTTCAAGTAAAACCAAAAAAATGAGGTAGAATTGGAATCATAGATTAAAATCGTAAAATTTAAGGTTCATATTAAAATAAAGGGTTAATACCCTAATTTGGCCCGAAGTTTAGCGTTAGTGACAGTTTTGGTCCGAATTTTTCAATAAGACATTTATGACCTACTTTTCAAACTATTGGACAAATGTGGCCTATGAAACGGTTTGACCGTCAGAATTAACGGTCAACCATTTTTCTGTCAATGACTCAGCATTCGCTGCTGACTAGACTCGTCCACATAATTTCATAATTAAAAATATTAAAACTTAAAAAATTAAAAAAAAATGAAAAGGGGAGTAGAACGGTGGCAATGAGATGCTCTCCCCTTGTTTCCTCTTCCTCCCTGGCTTCTCTGTATCATCTTCCAAATCCATAAATGATTCTCAAAATTCCAAACCCATCACCAAAATGTTGATCCACCGCAGCAGAACTAAAAATTAACCGCACATTGACTTCAATCTCTTCAAGCCATCCCTAATCTTCTTCTGTCGTCGGCAAAGAAGCAGCCAGAGGTAAGCCGGCCCGAATCCGACGACCACCGCCACTCCGACTCCTCTTCCTCCCGACTTTCCTTCAACCTGTTTCGCGTTGCCGTCTTTAACCGCCAAACCCTTTCTCGTCGCCGACCACAAATACAGAGGTGATTGGAGGGTGGATTTAGGGTTTCCTCCATATCGGTCTGAGGGAGAAGACAGCCGCCACCACCTGCACAACAATGGCCGCTGCAGCGGCGGATTCGAAAGGGACGAGGAAGGGTCGCTAGATCTGGATTTCCGTCTCGTAACCCTAAATTTGAACAGCGGGGAGGTAGCAGGGGAGCTTTGTGTGGTCGGCGGTGTAGCGAAGGAGGCAATATTCGATGCTTACCTCCTTAGTCGTTTGGCGGCTCCGCTCCGCAAGGGGAAATCCGCAAGGGAACACTTTGGAGTTTCGATCTGGTGGTACGGAGGGAGGGCGACGCACGCCGATGACCCTTCAGCTGCTCCGAGAGCTGTCGACTTAGCCGCCGCAATTGATTTTTCTTTCTTCTAAGTTCTAATCAAAAACAGAAGGGAAATGAGAAGGGCCAGAAGGTGAGGAGGAAGAATGGAGATTTCCGTTTTGGTGAGGGAAACAAAGAAAATGGATCGAGAAGGAAGAAGGTGGAGTCATTGGAGAGCGACGGGAGGAGTGAGGAAAGTGAATTAGGGATTTCATCCTCTGTCTTTATCATTTTGTTATTTATTTTTTATTTTCATGTTTTATTTAGAAATTTTAACATAAATAATTTAACGAAAATTTTTTAAATATAAATAAATTATGTGGAAATGATGTGGACGACAAGTCGCTGCCACCTCAACACTAAATGCTGAGTCACTGACGGAATAAATATTTGACCGTCAGTTTTAACGGTCAACCCAAATGCCGGGCCAAATTTGTCCAATAATTTTGAAAGTAGGCCATAAATGTCTTATTTGAAAAATGGAGCCAGAACTGTCACTAACGCTAAACTTCGGGCCAAACTAGGGTATTAACCCTAAAATAAACACTTAAAACCCCATATAGTAATAAAAATGCATATCCTGAATAACAAGCAACTACATATGACATAATTACTTCCCAAGATAAGTTTGTTTGCTAAATAAACAGAACTAAATCCATATATTTATTCTTGTACTATATGGGAAGTAATTATGTTATATAGTGGTCACGGCCTCGAGGGCGTGACTAGATGGTCCTGGCAATGACCTTGTTGTGACCTGGCCATGATAAACTGGAACGTTGCCGACTCACTCGAAACTTCACGTTTTGACACCATTTTTAAGCTCTGAGATCGCGGCCTCCTTCAAAAGATCACGATCGTGATTGTTGTGTCACGAACATTATCTTTTTCGCGATCAAAATGCACCACGTTCGCGATTCGCGTATTGAAACTTTTTGCCTTCTTCTTGGTCGCCTGCTGAGGTTCGCGGCCATTGTTCTCTTCAGGCCGCGAACATGGTCCCAGCCTAGTGGTCACGACCATGACGTGTGGCCGTGACATTTTCCTTTTCTCCCCTTTTTGTTCCTATGCTTCCCAATCCTATTCGGATGAACTCGAATTGATCCCCGATAAATCCCAAATGCATATAAGACCTATAATTTTATCACACACACTGGAAAAGCATAAAATACGACAAAGTGGGGTTTATTCCCCTATGAAAACCTTCATATCAAGAATACCTATACCAAAATGCATGTTTTGCAAATAGGAACGAAAATAGGCATGAATAACTTGATATGTGGCCTAGACATGGTGATTTAACATGCAAAAGCTTTAAGAATAAAGGCTAAATAATGCCTATTTTAGGTGTTATCAAACTCCCCCACACTAAACCGTTTGTTTGTCCCCAAGCAAACTTAACTCAAACTTGTACAACTTGCAAGATAAATCACATGGCATGCATAATATATCATCGATAGAGTGTCAACTAGCAACTTTCGAGGTCAACCAGACACAAATATTCTACTCTCTACCTGAAAACACATTCCCAAATGGGGACCTAGCCACTAAAGAGGTCTAGACATCAAAGGTGTGCACCGGGAGATTTCTCAAAAACGTTAAAGCCATTGACTCTAGAAGGTCCTCTTTATTATTTCTTTCAAAGTAGGAGTTGTCATTTATCGTTCTCCTTTTTCAACGTTGACGTGCATTGCACCAAACTTTTTGCAAGAAAGAATCTCCCTCATGACCAAGAGCGGATGGATCATTGCCTTCCTTATCAAGGTCACATGTAGGGAAGTTGAGTGGCGAATTCGTCTTAGATTGAGCACCACTTCCCAGCTTGCACTCCACATTGGGTTGCCACACATGTTGGGCCTCTTGAATCGTTAAAAGGTACTTTGTACCTTGCCATACGATTTCGTGAGGAGGAGAAGTATTTGGGGATGGTAAGTAGTGAAAGATGGTCAGGACACGGTAAAGCTATCTGGTCCCCAAACACATCCTCAAATGGCACTCCGAACCGAGAGAAAAACCCTTTAACGGTTTATCTCAAACACTATGATCGATTGCCTCTCACGTGAGAACCTCTTTTTTCAAAAGAATTTTCAAAATTGTGCATATTTTTGCAAACATTTTAAGTCCAAAAGTAAGTAGAGAATCCCGCAAACATGTCCTAACCTAGATAGTGGACAATATCAACACATTCAAGGAAGAAATCATTGGCTAAATTCCTCACTTCCAATTTCCTCTGTAACGCTACACTATCCTCCCTATCATGCATAACATCACAATTATCTAGAAATTCAAAGCACGTTGGAAGTGAGGAATTAACGCTACACTATACGGAGAATGCATAAGGAGCCAACTTGGAGCCCTTAAATTTGAAAAAATTTGGGCATGCAACATGCATGCAAGGCTCCAAGTGCTCAAATCATGCTAAATCATCATCCACAATCACTCTAAAGCATACTCTCTAGATCAAGCATTCAAACATTTATATCATAAGAGAGTTCAATCGCTAATAACATTTCACATAAATATTTATGCACACCCCCCCCCCCCAACCACACACACACTTAATGAACACAGGTAAAGAATAGGGGAACGAAGTTACTGGTTAGACGAAGTCGAGTGATTGTAGGGTGGAAGGATAGGCTAGGTCGGTTCGATCCTTGATAAACATCCACAAAAAAGGAGCTAAAAAGAAGATTTTAATCACATCCACACAAAGTGAAATTAAACAAGTACTAATTATATAAGTAAGAAGTTTTACTAAGTACTTAAAATAAAAAGCACACACATAAGAGAGGAAGAACAAAATAAAAAACTAATCCACCACAAACACGTATTTTATCAAGCATACTAAGTATTTAAAAAGAAAAAGATATAATAGTGAAAAATCGGCTCCTAGATGCAATATTGTCTTTGATGTACAGTTGGAGCATATGGTAGTTGCACATCGGAGGATCTTTCTTTCAAGGATGGTCCATCATAGTTCGTAGTCGCCTCCATTGGTTGCTTTGTTGTGGGTGCTCCTCGATTTGAGGTTATGGTTCTTCCCTTGGAATTTTTGGTTCTTCTCATCATGGGCGGTTCTGGTTTCTTCGTTGTTGAGGGCTAAGAGGGCTATCACTCTCACCCTCAGTTGGATCGCCACCAAAAGAGAAAAATTACAAAACATGTTCAAACAAACCATTAGGCAACTCACTTGATAATTTAAACAACAAAAATACATCCTTAGGTTCACTCTTTACAGCCCACACTTAAGTGTTACAATGTAGAAACTAGAGGTGCATAGGTAGAATTGCATTGTGTAATGACTAGGGTCGAGGTCTAGATGCATGAACACAAGGGCGACATGTCTTTCAAGAGGTTTCTAAACCCCAACCGAAGGCATAATCAACTCATTAGACAACAACCAAAGCTTAAACTCTTGGCACTAAAATTGTATCAAACCACAAAATTATAAGTGAGCCAAAATTTCAAACTCAAGTATCATGCATCAAAGATTCAATCTTAAGTCGTAAACACACTCCTAAAAGTCTATCTTAATCAAACAAGTTCAATTGAAAAGCAATGGATCAAGAAAACAAGTTTTAAGTGGTTTTGGCATTTCATCGAGCACTTGGTGGGCGGTTGACTCGTCCTGAATATCATAATAAAAATCCTGACTAAGATCCAAGTATAAACCTTAGCCAGGTGCAATATAGGATAAGTATGTTTTAAAAGTCAAACCCGGTCCGGTCCATGTACCCCTACTTCAACTGTTTGAAACATTATCTAGCAATCGAGTTTTGGTTGAAACTATGAACTAAATTCAAAGCAATTGGAAAATGTAAATGGTTTTGAACACTAATTGAGAAGGCTTCACCCAGGTGCTGCTCCCCCTAGCTAGTAATCACGATTTGTTGGACCGAATGCAAATGTGTGGTAAAATCAGGTGTAAACTATAGGGAAGCGCAACAAGTGAACAAACTTCACTCTCTCGGTCACTAGGCCAAAGGATATCAAATCAGGCTACCAAAGTAGCTCTCTTGGCCAATCAACTAAGGGTTTCTTAGGCTTCTCCCTCAAAAAGTAGTCCGGACGACCAAAATTCAACCTACCCAAGGTGCTAGCACATTGTAAGAGGTTTGCCCTAACTCGACGTAAGTAGGTGACACAATTTGGCCAAAGAATTCTAGCTTTTAAAAGCCTCTTAGCAAGAAAGGGATTTCCCTCTAACTAGGTCAAATTGGCATAAGAGTTGGAAATGGAAAAGCACAACACAACCTTCATGAAAATACCTCAATACTTGTATTAAAAACCAACCACACACAAGTAATTGAATCCGTACAAAAATTCACATAATTCTAGCTAGGGTTTACAAACACCCAAGTGAAAGAAAGGACAAAGGGAGGCCTTGGTTGATAGTTCCCCATCGTTCCTTGGAAACTGGGGTGGGGGGTCTTGAATTGCTCGGGGAAGACCATGCGAAGTTTGGATGGTTTCGCCACCCCGGGTTGTAATTGTTACTATAGGGGTTGTTGTTGTTGCTAACCCTAGCATTGGAAATGAAGCTTACTTGTTCTTCCGTGGTGCTTGCTTGCTTCCTTCATCAATTGGCATTCCGCAATCTCGGGGTTGGTACTTGAACACCAATCACATGCCATCACCGACTTCTTTCGTTGCGTCTTATCCTCAAAGAGTGCAGTTATCCTTTGATCGATCTTTGCGGCAAGCGGAGGACTAGATTTTTTGGAGTGTAATCCTCCCTTGACACCCCTTCTACCACGTCTCTTCAAGCCCCAATCATACACCTTTGTCCCCATATCTTCAAGCAAAGCGGTCATCTTGGGTGGAGTCTTGTTCATCAAGTTCCCTTGACATAGAGAGTCAACGAGAATCTTGTCTTCTTGGAAAAGACCGTCGTAGAAGGTTTCGATCCGAAACCGCTCTCCAAACCCGTGGTGTGGGAATTGAAGGAAAAGTCAGAGTACCTCTCCCATGCATCCCTCAATGTATCATCTTCCTCTTGAGCGAAGTGGGTGATCTTCTTGCACCACTCTGCCATCTTGGAAGGAGGACA